AGAAAATAACAGAAATATCAAACACCAATACTCCTCAACAAGAAGAACCATGTTTCAAACAAATCCAGCAATCCATTACCATAACAAATCCATCAATCCACCAAAGAGAAGAGAACAAGTGTTAAGTGTGTACCTTGAAGTCCCGAACTTGAAGTTGAAGCTTGGAAAGAGAACAAGAGATGAAGAAAAGTTGAAAACGTGAAGATTTGAGGAAGAAAAGCTGAAGAAGAGCTGAAGTAAGGAAGAACAAAGAAGAAGTGAAGAACTGAAGACCGAGATCTGCTTTAATTTTTAGTAAAAAACCCACAAAACGACGTCGTTTTGGGGGTGACCTTTTTGTTTTTTTTTGTTTTTTTTCAATAATTCGTGAATAATTCGCGAATTATTCGCGAATTATACAAATATTCCAATAATTCGCGAATAATTTGGCAGCCATTGTCAAAATACGTATATACGCGTTTTATACGCGAATTATACGGTTAGCCGTATAATTCACGTATAAAACGCGTATTTACTAACTAGGGGGATGTCACCTTCTATGAGCAAATTTTCCCCTTTAAATGGTCAACCACAAACATGTCTATCTTTCCCCCAGATTCATTTTTAGAAATAGATTCATCTGACACATATACTAGACAAAATCCTCTACATATAGACAGTTTTCCTGTACCACAAACAGATCCAACTGTGACCTCTAGCTCATTACATATGCTAGAATCACCTAGTCCACCATTTCTACCAAATGAATACCCTGCAAATTTGAACCAAACCAACCCTACACCCTTACGGAGATCAACCAGAGCTACAAAGCCACCTATATGGACCATAGATTTCCATTGTCCCACACTTCCTTCTTCATCACAAACTCACATTGTGAAATATCCAATTTCGGATAACATTGATTATTCTCACATTTCGCCTAAATATCAAGCCTTCCTTGAAAAAATTTCTTCTTTAACTGAACCAACCAGCTTTACCCAAGCTTCCAAAGATCCTAAATGGGTTGAAGCCATGTCAAAAGAAATAAAAGCTTTAGAGGACAATCATACATGGTCATTGGTTCGCTTGCCTCCTGGAAAAAATCCAATTAGGTGTAAATGGGTGTATAAATTGAAATTTAAAGCTGATGGTACTCTAGAGAGGTGTAAAGCTAGGTCGGTGGCAAAATGTTACACACAACAAGCTATAATTGATTATAAGAAAACATTTTCCTCGGTTGTTAAAATGGTGACAGTAAGAGCCATTATAGCTTTAGCTTCCATTAATGATTGGTCGTTGTATCATCTTGATGTTGACAATGCATTTCTACAAGGTGATTTAACTAAGGAAATTTATATGTCTTTACCCCAAGGTTTTACCAAACCACCTGGACAGAATCTTGTTTGTAGACTTCATAAGTCTTTATATGGCCTTAAGCATGCCTCTAGGGCCTGAAAGTTTAAGCTTACTTCAGCTTTAATTCAAGGAGGATTCTCTCAATCAAAATCTGAATACTCTTTATTTGTTAAGAGGCATGGTACTCAGATTGTGGTTGTCCTTGTATATGTTGATGATATAGTTATCATTGGGAGCAGTTCTTCCTTAATAGATAAAGCTAAACAGTTACTTCACTCCAATTTTAAGCTTAAAGATTTAGGATTGCTTAGATATTTTCTTGGTCTTGAGGTAGCAAGATCAGCCAAAGGGATAACTATATGTCAATGTAACTATGCCTTAGAGTTGATTTCTATTACTGGTATGTCAAGTGCTAGACCTGCCATCATTTCTCTTGATCAACATGTGAAATTCACCTCTTCGGATTATGATAAGCAATTCAACATTACTGGAGATCCCTTGTTACCAGATACTTCCATCTATCAGTAGTTTATAGGTAAACTTCTTTACTTATGTATGACTTGTCCAGATTTGAGCTACAAGGTAAACTTGTTAAGTCAGTTTATGCATGCACCTAAAGAATCCCATATGCAAGCAGCTTTGAAGATTGTAAAGTATGTCATAGTTGCTCCTGGTTTAGGATTATTTTTCTCATTTGACAATAAATTGCAAGTTAATGCTTATTGTGATTCAGATTGGACCTTTTATTTACTAACAAGAAGGCCAGTTATTGGGTTTTGTGTTTTCTTGGGTAATTCTCTTATATCTTGGAAATCTAAGAAGCAGGTGACAGTATCATGATCTTCCTCAGAAGTTGAATACAGGGCAATGACCTCAGCTGTTTGTGAAATTGTTAGGACAGTGCAACTGCTTTCTTAACTTGGTTATCCTCCTTATCTGTTGTTCCTCTTTTTTGTGACAATCAATCAACTTTACACATTGCTTCTAATCCGATGTTTCATGAGCGTACCAATCACATTGACATTGATTGTCATTTGGTCCGAGAAAAGATATAGGCTGGTCTCATTCAAACCAAATATTGATCAGTAGGCAAATATTCTCACCAATGCTCTTCGGAGTCAATTACATCATCATTTTTTGTCCAAGTTGGGAGTATTCAACCTTTACCACTCACCAACTTGAGGGGGGGTATTGAAGATATATTCAGCTATATTCAGCCAGCTCTATTCAGTTCAATCTAATGTTGACTATTAGTCAAATGTAGTGCAGTGTAAACTAGTGTTTTCAATAAATGTAACATAATGGTTGTAAATGTAGTTAGCTGGGGGTAGTTGAGTAAATGTAGTTAGCTGAGGTTAGTTGAGTAAATTCACTATAGATATGTTAGCTGAAAAGTGTTGTATATACTTAAGATACAAAAGAAAAAATGGGTGTAATTCCCGTCAATGAATGAAATGCTCTTCTGCAAAATTTTTTCTCTTCTACTCAAAATCTAATAATCTCTTCTACATTTCTTCACAAAACCATGATGGCACCATTTTTTGCCTTCCTTCCATACACAATCCTCGCTGTTTCCTTCCTCCTTTTTCTCTATCACTTCACCAAAAAGAAGAAGTTCTTATGGAACTTACCACTCCTCGGAATGTTACTGGAATTTCTGCTCAACATCGACCAAATTCATGAGAAAATCACTCAAATTCTTGGAGCAAATATGGGGACATTTCTCCTTAAAGGTGCTTGGCTTGGTCAAATGGACACATTGATCACCTGTGATCCTGCAATTGTGAACTGCGTGATAAAGGAAAAATTTTCAGGCTATCACAAGGGAGATGAGTGGAGGAAACGGTTCGAATTCTTCGGAAATCATAGTTTGTTCAACACTGATTTCGACGAATGGAAGATCCATCGAAATACTTTTCGAAGCTTTATAAGTCACCAGCAGAGCCAGCAGGCTGTCGCGAAAACCATTCGGAGAATCTTAGAGAATGGACTCATCCCAGTTCTTGAGCAGTCCTCTAAACAATGTCAAGTGTTGGACTTGCAAGATTTGTTCAAGAGGTATACCTTTGATTTTGCTTCTTCGATGGTCACTGGGCATAACCCTAATTCTCTTTGCATTGGATTACCGAAAAATCCGGTTCCTGAAGCCCTAGACGATGCATGGGAGGCCATAATCTTGCGATTTCTTTTACCGGAGAGCTTGTGGAAGTTGCAGAGATGGTTAGGGCTTGGGAAAGAAAGAAAAATGAGCGGAGGAAGGGAAGTTGTCGATGGGTTTTGCGCTAAGCAGATATCGATGAATAGAAAGAAATTGAGTGAAGGAAAAACAAGAATCAGCTTTGAAGATGAAGAGGGTTTCAATTTTGTGAACTGTTATTTGACAGGAAATGAAGAGAATTCTCCAAAAGTTTCTAATGAAGTTATCAAAGATAACATGGTGAATTTTATTTTTGCAACTGCTGACACAAGTAGTACAGCTCTCACTTGGTTCTTCTGGATGCTTGAGAAAAACCCTATTGTTGAGAAGAAAATTAGGGAAGAAATAGAAAGAAATTTGCCAAAAAAGGGAGATGGGAAGAATATTAGATTGTTCCAACTGGAGGAGTTGAATAAGTTGATCTATCTTCATGCAGCTCTTTGTGAAGCCCTAAGGCTGTTCCCTCCAGCGCCGATACAAATCCGAACCCCGCTTCAATCCGAAACTTTACCTGGTGGGCATTGTGTCGATGATAAGACCAACGTTCTAATCTTCCTGTATGGAATGGCGAGAATGCCATCGGTTTGGGGAGATGACTGTCTTGAATACAAGCCGGAGAGATGGATCACGGAGGATGGAGGAATTAAACATGAGCCAACACATAAATTCTTCTCTTTCAATGCTGGGCCAAGGATTTGTCTAGGCAGGGACATTGCTTTTAATTTAATGAAGGCCATTGCAGCAACATTCATCCATAACTACAATTTTCAAGTGCTCGAAAATCACCCTGTAACCCCTACTTTAAGTGTCATGTTTCGCATGAAGTTTGGGTTATTGGTTAAGGTTAGGAACAAATCCGCTTAATTTATGTTGTAATATATTATGGTAAGTTCTGAAGTTTTATTAGTTTGATGTATCGATTATGTCATAAGATATATATGTATCTGGTTAATAAGTCTCTTTCTATTATGTTTTAATTTTACATGTTCAATAATAATATGATTATGTTTGTATGTAATGATACATATGTAATGTTTTTTATTTTGGTAATCATTAGGGTTTGGACTAGTTTACGTACACCTTAATTAATTATTCGTGGTCTTGAAGTTAACGGCCTATAACATTATATATATATAATGTTATAGGATTTACTTGTGACATAAACGGATTATAGGACGTTGTTTTATTAGTGTGACGTATAGATTACTTGGTAAAACCAGTAAATCCATTTAACTATTAAATCTCTTTCTTATGTTAGGATTTTTTTTTTTTTTTTTTTTTTTTTAACCGGTAATTATCTCTCATGCAGCTCGAAGACAAAATTAGTATAGCTAAACCAATGACTAAAGGGTGTACTTACTATCCAGTTACAAGAGGAGAGATTATTTTAGAAGCTTCTGTATTGCATGATAATATTTTTATCATTCTATGTTTCAACTATACATATAAGGGCATCTCCAACCCACACCATTTTGGTGTAAAAAACGTCAAAATGGTGTGGGTTGTTGCTCCAACCATGCGCCAAGCGCCACACCAAAATGGCGTGGCACTGTAGCACTATTAAAATATAATTTTTTTTTCCTTTTTTCTAATTTTGTTAAGTTAATTTGAGTATTAAATTTTAAATCAAAAATCACACCAAATTTGATTATTTGTATTCAATTTAATTTGATTATTATTTATAATAATAAATTCATAATAATGATATAATTCAAAAATGATGAAAAATTAAAAATAAAACTTTATTAAATGCAAATATTAAACTACAATAACTCAAAATAAGAATTAACACTAATTTAAAAATATTCTCAATGTTTAATTAATATATACAAAAATAATGAGTAAAATAGATTAATTGTTGATTATTACAATAAAAGAAAAAGAAAAAGAATATTCTAAAAAATATTCTAAAAAATATTCGTTTTGATGTAATATTTGGTATAGTGGGTTGGAGATGGAATATTATTTTACACCAAAATTTGCACTAATTTGGTGCAATGGGTTAAAGATGGTCTAAGTGCTGCTATAGAACTTAAGTACTTGTGATTTAAATGCATTAAAAAAAAAAAAAGGTTTAAGAGGACATTATACTTCCAAGTTGACGTCCAGGGCGTTAGTTAACTTCTGGTATTTAGGATTTTGTGTTTTCAAGGGGCAAGACTTGTATGTCCCATGACAAATTATTAAGTAAATTATTAGTTTATAATTACATAAATTATTAATTTTTATTTTTATTAAAAAGGGGTGTAAGTTACCGTATGTAATCTTTTATTAGTAGAGATAATTGAAGTCTATTAAGTAATTAATTATGTAGAGGGATAAAATACATAAATGTAAATACAGATAAAATGACAATTAAGCCAAGTCATGGAATTAAAAATCGCAGTTAATAGTTATTTATATGGTATATGATTTGGACTAAATTAAAGAAAAATGGGACGGCAAAAATTTCAAATTAATAAAGACAAGTAGAATCCCATAAGGTAAAGAGAGATTATAGAAAAGACTTCTCCATAGGAAAAAATTAGTTTTTTTTTTTTTTTTTTTTTTTTTTTTTTTTTTTTTTTTGAGGCCTACCCTCAGAGGGACTGGTTGCTTCTTATATGTGCCAACCCTAACTATTAAATTATGGGTTTATGTATATATGTCTGATTTTCTTTCCATAAACCTTGATGTGATGAGGAAATCTAATAAGTAGAAAATGATGAAACATCCACGTCCTTATGGGTAAAGGGCTATCTTTAGGTACACTTTTTTAGAAACCGACTAAAAAAGTTTAAGCATATATAATACTAGAGATAAAAGAAATTTACATGGATTTCTCATATAAAGTGATGTGGTAAGAGATGAATGAAAGAGTGAATTCCATTCATCTCTTCCCATAACACTTTAAATAAATCTTTGTAAAAAATTTTGTACCTCTAACATTATCCAAACTAATTAATAATTAAGGAAAATAAATTAAAAAAATAAAAAAAATCCAACAATCTCTCCTTAACCTAGTTTAAAAAAGTGCGGGCCCTTTTTTTTAAAAAAAAAAATTTAATTAATTATTAGTTTAGGGGCATTTATATCTTTAAGTTTTGAGGCTTTTTAGTGTATTTTGAAATTATACTTTCTCATTAAATTTATGGAAAAAAATATCTTCATTTCATCTCCAATAAAAAGTCCTCACTAAGTCACTGGTAATCTAAAGTATTACATTTTCAAAAATTATTTAAAATATATACAATGTAACCTTATGCTAAACAATTAATTTATGTTATTGTTTTGTTATGAATGGCATGTAACTAATATCCCCTTACCCTCAGTATGGGTAATTGAAGTAATCAATATGTTTAAAGGTGCAGGTAAATCTCGGTCAAATTTTAATTGTCTTATAATCTTGCATAAAGAAAGTCTTTTTAAGTTATAAATAGTATGATATTATGGGTAATGTAAAATCTACCTGTACGGAAGGAGGTCTGATCCCTTGAGGTTGAGGCCACTAGCGATCCGCTGCACCTGCACACGTAGAGAAACACACGCGTGATGCGAATGGGAAACACCGGTGTGGTGTTTGCCGTAGGCACTCCGACGCTCAAGTCACTAGGTTGAAGGGAAATATAGTGAGGGCTAGGAATAAAGGTTACCAGAAGTCTAGTCGGGGACTGTGACTACGGCGGTGATATGAGGCTCTCAAGTCAGAGCTTTAGGTGTGAAGGTTGAATGTCCCTTGTGAGAGGGCTGGCCTCTGCTTATATAGTGACTGTCTGGTCTCCCAATTCTGGTAGAAGTAGGAGTCCTAGTATGACTCTAATGCAAACTCTAGAAGAATTAGGGCCGTGGTGAGCTGTCTTACCAGTGTCCGAGTAGGAAGGTAATTTTGATTAGGAGAATTAACTTCGAACAGGAAAGTGATCAGGAATGGGAAGTATTCTGAGGAGATCGTGGGCTCTATAGTCATCCATGGATTTGAGGAATGGGCTGGGATTAGGAGGCTCGTGCCCATGTGGTTTGGGCCAGCTACACATTGTACCGAATGGGCCTCACCCGGTAGGGTCATATCAGGATTGGGCTTGGCTTCTTCTTCAGCGTCGCGCCCATTCTCCTATTTGGGCCAAGGACAATTTTTGGCCCTAACAGTTTGCCCCCCACTCTCTGAGTTAAGAGTTTCTTGAGTCAGAGAGTAGGAAGCGATTGATAGGTGCTCGGTTGTTCTTCTGGGATGACCGGTTGTTGGTGTAGTTGATCCTGTAGATGATTGTTCCAGGGTCGTTCGGTACGTCCGACCGATTGGAAAGAGGAGATCATTTCACAGCCTGGATGCTCACTCGGCATGCCGGGTGGAGCGAGGTAGGAAGTTCATTGATCAAAAATCGTTCGCTCGGTCGATATGTGTGGATGACCTAGTGGATGAGATACGAGAACCCTAATTATAGGTTTCTTGTTCGTCCGCAATGGAAGGGCGAACAAGCGGGACCTCCTTGTTCTAAAGGGGGCCGAAACATGCTGTTCCAAGCCGATCGACCAGTCGGCCGGACCTTCTAGTCTGGAGAAGCGTGGGGCTTTGCGAGTGCTTCGAAGGGCTGAGTCGGTCAGGGGGAGAGGGCAATCGAGTGGAACGGATACGCGAGCCTTGACCTCTGGATGTTCTTTCGTCCGCTACAGAAGGATGAGAGGGCGAGGACTGTTTTCAATATAGTGAGTTCGGGCCGGGTCATCCCAGGCTGATCAACCAGGTGGGAGCAATGTACTTGCTCGGTCGTGAGGATAGGGCGAAGGAGTACAGCTCGTACAGTTTTGCGGTCTCCTAGGCGCTACGAATGTTTGCCACGCGTTCGGTGGGGATTGACTCCTCATTTTCAAGGCGGGAAAACGAAACGGCTCCTGGCCATTGTGCAGTGGGAAGCCGCCACGTGTCTGCTTCTGTCAGACCTCTTCTATAAAAACTGGTGAATGGTCTGTTCAGATTCCATTCGCGTTTTTTTTTCTGCAACTTGGTTTTTTCTTCTTCCTCTCCAGTTTTCATTTTCATTCTAATTTCCCTGAGCAGCGATGGTTTCCTTCTTTTGTTTTCGGGACGGCTTTACGGTGAGTATTGTTCCCTTTCATCTTTTTTGTTGGTTCGTTTGGTTAGTTTTGGTTTTGTTTGCGGGAGAGATTGAGATATTTGGGTTTTTGGAGAAGAGGGAAATTTTTTGAAGTTTTTGGGAACTTTGAGGGGGATTTGAGGTGTTTAGGTCACGTATTTTACCCAAAAAAAAGATGTGCATTTGGGATTTTCCGGTGGGTTTTTAACTGTTTTAGACGGAATTTCGCGAAGGCAAAGTCGGGTTTAGTTTGGACTCGTTCGGTCGGTCTTCCTGACCGAACAAGAAATTGTGGGTGTTTTGGGGGGTTAGGTCTTCCAGTCTGTCTAACCGAGTGGAGGGATGTGCGAAGTGGATTAGAGAGTCGGTCGGTCGGTCATCCTGACCGAATGGGTGGTTGTGTTTGGGTTAGTGTCCAGGCCGATCAGTCGGTCACCAGGGGCGATCCAAGGGATACCTGATAAGGGATCTGCTGAGTCAGTCACCTAGGGTGAGCCAAGAAAAGCGAAAATCGGGAGCTGGGTCGGTCGACCAAGGTTTAGTTTGAGCTTCTTCGGGTCAGTAGGCTGGTACTGAGCATTTTTGGCAGCCAGGGCGAGTTCTTTCGATCGGTCTATTGGATGGGGCGACTGGCTACCTAGGATTCTCTCTCGGTAGGACGGGTCGACTAAGATTGAAGGGGCTGATTTTGGGGGTCGTCGTGCGGCGTTGAAGGGCGACCAGTAGCTAGGTTGATACTTGAGTGGCTCAGTTTTAGTTTTAAAAGAAACGAGTCGGTCGGTTGGGACGGGCGACTGATCCGATGTCAGAAGATACGTCAGCAGGTTCGAGTCAAGGTGTAGTGGACGTCGGGGATGAGTATGAGCATGCCCCGACTATCGTGATGATGCCTGAAGGTAGCGTCCCGGTGGGCGTACCGACTGGAGTTAGTGTAGTCGCTCCAAGGGCGAGTCAGGCTGGGCCGAGTGTCTCGGGCAGGCATGAGCAGAGTGGGGAAGACTCCAGAGGGGCTGGCAATCTATCTTCGTCCAGCAGTAGCTCCGAGGAAGAGCCGAGCCAGCAGGGCAGTGGGATTCTGACCAGGGATTATCCGCCCATGCTTAAAGATGGTGACGTGTGGCGCATCCGTACATTGTATCATATCCCTATTTTGGTCGACATCCGGACCCTGCGGTCGTATGAGCAGGTTGATTGGGAAGCTGTGGGCTGGGTCTGTGTTTATAAGAAGTGGTTTCATGACAGGTTAAGGTTGCCTGTGCCTCGCCTCGTCTGGGAGGTGCTGAACCACTTCATGATTGCCCCTTCCCAGCTTATGCAGAACGCTTGGAGATTGCTGATGGCTCTGGAGGATTTGTGTGTTCGACACCAAGTTATGTTCGGGTTGCACGAGCTGCTGTACTCGTACTTCCTGAAGGAGAACGATAAGGAGAAGGGCCGATATTTGCTCAACTTGAGGCATAACCGGTCTCACCAGGTGACTGACCTGCAGTCCAGTGATAAGAACTGGAAAGACCGCTACTTCTTCTTGAGGGGTCAGGCCGTTTTTGGAGAGAAGGGCCCGGGCGAGATCCCGATCGGCTGGTGAGCTACTGGTGAAGACTTGTTTCTTTCATTCTTTTGATTACTAAATCTTGATTGTATTTTTTGTTTGCAGAGCTTGAGTTCAATCGGGCCGGGCAGAGCGGAGATGGCTTGGACGTGGCGACTCAGAGGGTGTTAGCTATCCCATTGGAGCAGAGGGATTGGTGGGTGGTGCTTGCGGAGTCTAACTTGAGGACCAGCATTCTTTGGGCTGGGGTAGAGCCGATACAGAGAGGTACTCCCTTCCCCTCGCTGAAGCAGACTTGGGACGTTCTCCTAAGTCGATACTATAATCAGCTGATTTTTGGTAAGTCCGGGCTGAACCCACTAACTGTTGGAGAGTTGGCAATTGCAGAGTCACTTATGAAGAAGTTGAGCATCCCAAGTGCGAGCGAGTCCATCGCCAGACATCGAGAGAAGAGGAGGAGGGAGTCGGTGGCCAGGGCGGACGCGAGGGTTGAGGACATACTGGCAACGCCGCCCAGTCAGTAGCCGTCGACCCAGCAGCCTTCAGCGAAAGCCGGGTCGTCCCAGGCTACCGTTGTGGATGAGGAGGCCGGGACTATTACTATCACGATTCCGGCTACTGCGTCGACTTATTCTGACGCGACCTCTATGAGTAAGCTGGCCAACTCTTTTTTGTTCCCGATTGACGAGGCGCGCCTGAACCAGATGGGTGCAGTTGCTGCAGCCGATTGGGGCGTATCCCGCGCCGTTCAGGTATGGCAGTACTTGTTCATTTTCCCTGTTGTTGACTTTGTTCTCATTGTTGAGTTTTGTTGTGCAGGTATTCACTAGCAGTCTTCATCTGAGGAAGTCTGTCGTGGCGCAGGAGAAGCGGATACAGGATTTATCCAAGGCCAACACTGGTTTACGCCAGAGGGAGGCAGCGTCCCGGAAGGCTGAGCAGGAGAGTCAGTAGCGCCTCAGGGATAGTGAGGCCGAGGTCACGAGGTTACGGCGCGAGTTGGCCGAGAGGACCGCGGAGGTCCAGTCCCTCAGGGAGCAGTGCATCTCCATTGCTGATGACGCCATTATTAAGGCCCTAGGTGAGCTTATGCTGGAGTTTAAGGAAGGGCGGACCTCTCATTGGGATCCGGATGAAGACATTCTGCTCATGCAGGAGTTGTTGGAAGAAGAAACTAGTCATCCGGCGGGGCAGGACGAAGGGCGGGCGCCTGAATTTAGTCAGCCAGGGCAATTGGGTGTTGGTGACGTGAGCGACCAAGCTGCGGGGCCGAGCACTGGCGGTGCAGACATGGCGACTGATTTGGTGATGGAGGATGAGGTTCATGCTGAGGATGCTTAGCGCTTCCTTTTATTTTTGTATTTTGGGGCCTATGATGCCCTTGTCTGGTGTCTGTGCCATTTTTGTATTCTGAACTGGGGCGTTTGATGCCATATATACCACTTTTTGACTGTTCTGATTTCTAATTTTGTCTTCTTGGATGAATGAACTGTTCTTTATTTCTCTTGTATGCGCGTTATGTTTGTGTATGTTACCTTCGCGTGGCCCAATAGCTAAGGCGCGTAGGTCTTATGTTGGGCTGGGTTGGTACTTTGTTTGTCAATGGTGTAGGAATCATTCATTCGGTTTGGCCGGCCGAGTGTGTAGTCCCCTGGATGGGTGACGTTGCATCTTCAGTTTAGTTCTTAGGTCGAATGAGGCTGGTCCCAAGGTGCCAAGTCTTGGATCGAGCAGGCCGATCTAAAGGTGTCATCGTGACTTGAGCGGGGTTGATTCGAATGTGAGTAATTCATCGGGCAAGGCCGATTTGAGAGGTGTCCGTATGTATCAGGCAAGGCCGATTAGAAGGTGTCCGAACGTTCATCGGGCAAGGCCGATTTGAAGGTGTCCGTTCTTTCATTGGGCAAGGCCGATTTGAAGGTGTCCGAACGTTCATCGGGCAAGGCCAATTTGAAGGTGTCCGAACGTTCATCGGGCAAGGCCGATTTGAAGGTGTCCGTACGTTCATCGGAAAAGGTCGATTTGGAGGTGTCTGTACGTTCATCGGGCAAGGCCGATTTGAAGCTGTCCGAACATTCATCGGGCAAGGCCAATTTGAAGGTGTAAGCAATTCGTCGACCGGGGTCAATTTGAAGATGAAAACTTCTGAATAATACTTCATTAAATGTTTGGCCATGAGGTCGACTGTCTAAGAGGAGGTGGATAGGCCCACTCATCCTTAAAAAATGAAACAAAAACAAATTCTCAAAAAAGACAAGGTTCACCTAGAAGTAGTAGCGTTTGAGGTGAACGACATTCCAGCTATTATTGATGTCTTTGCCCTCGGGGGTCTGGAGTTTGTAAGCCCCCTTCCCTAATGCTTCGATTATTTTGTAGGGACCTTCCCAGGTGGGACCGAGTTTGCCAGAGTTGATCTCCTTGGTGTTTTGGAAGACCTTGTGGAGGACCCAGTCGCCTGTTTTGAAGGTACGGATCCTCACGTTGCTGTTATAATGTCGGGTTGCCTGTTGCTGGTAAACTGCATTGCGGATGCTCGCCCGTTCCCGTAACTCATCCACAGTGTCTAGGTTCTGGCAAAGGTCGTGACTGTTTGATTCCTCGTTCGCCCATTGAAGCCTAGTGGATGGAACTTACACTTCAGCTAGAATGATTGCTTCGGAACCGTATGTCAGGGAGAATGGAGTTTCACCGGTTGATGATCGAGCCGTCGTTCGGTATGACCAGAGGACTCCAGGTAGCTCATCTGCCCATGCGCCCTTAGCTTTTTGCAGTTGTTTCTTCAATGTCTGTATAATGGTCTTGTTTGATGACTCGGCTTGGCCGTTAGACTAGGGGTTGTGGGGTGTTGAGAAGCTCAATTTTATTCCCCACATGTCACAGAAATCCCTGAAGCCTGAACTAATGAATTGGGACCCATTATCGGTGACAATCTCCTTTGGTATTCCGAACCTGCAGATCACATTCTTCCAGATGAAAACTTTTATCTCTTGATCTCTAACTTGAGCGAAGGCTTCGGCTTCGATCCACTTGGTGAAGTAGTCTGTCATAGCCAACATGAAGACTCGTTGTCCTGGTGCAGTAGGTAGCTTTCCCACGATGTCCATTCCCCACTTCATGAACGGCCACGGTGTGAGAATGGAATGGAGTCGTTCTGGTGGGAGGTGTGAGACGTGAGCAAACCTCTGACATTTGTCGCATTTCTTTGCGTAAGCGGTCGAGTCGTGCGTATGGTCGGCCAGTAGTACCCCGCAGTAATCGCCCGGTGTGCCAGACTGTGCCCCCTCACGTGGTTGCCGCATTCGCCTTCGTGGAGTTCGGCTATAACACTTTGGGCTTCTTCTGGGCTTATGCATTTCAGATAAGGGCCCGAGAATGACTTTCTGAGGAGTTGGCCCTCATGTATGGTAAATCTGGCGGCTCTTGCTTTCAGTCAGTGGGCTTCGTTCTTGTCAGTCGGGAGCTCATCGTCTTCTAGGTATCTTATTATTGGGGTCATCCAGCAGTCGGCTTGTTCAATGCCCATGGCCTTTATGGGAGACTTGTTCGGTGGTGGTACCTTCCAGTTGGCTGGCCACTACATAAATAAGAGGGGAATGGATGACTGGGAGGAACATGAGAGTGCTGAGCCAAGGTTGGCGAGGGTGTCGGCGTGGTAGTTCTCGGTTCTGGGGATCTATACTATTGAAAACTCTTCGAATTCGGTCTGCAGCTCTTTGACCATGCTCAGATAGGATGTCATCTTTGAATCACGTGCTTGATACGTACCTTGTAGTTGATTGACTACGAGTTGGGAGTCCAACTTCACTTCTAGTCTCTTGGCTCCTATTTCTCTGGCCAAAGAAAGTCCTGCTAGGAGGGCTTCATATTCGGCCTCGTTATTCATGCACTTGAACCCACACCGGATTGCTCGCTGGATGATGTCTCCCTCTGGTGCGATCAGTACTATTCTGAGTCCGCTTCCATTGACATTGCTCGATCCGTCTACTAGGAGAGTCCACTTTAAGAGTGGTGCGCCGTTCATGCATAGTAATTCTCTTTCGGCCTGAGTGGTGGTGCTTGGTGTGAAGTCGGCAATGAAGTCTGCCAGAGCTGGGGACTTGACGGCGGTACAGGATTGGTAGGCTATATCGAACTCACTAAGTTCTACCATCCATTGCATGAGTCGGCCTGATAGTTCTGGTTTGTGTACTATCTTCTTGAGTGGGAAGGAGGTGATTACAACAATGGGGTGGCACTGAAAGTACGGCCTGAGCTTTCTGGACGCATGGACGAGGGTGAGGGCCAGTTTTTCCAGTTGACTGTACTGCGTTTCTGCGTCGAGAAGCGACTTGCTCACGTAGTAGACTGGTAATTGCTTTGATTCTTCTTCTCGAACTAGTACTGCCGAGATGGCTGTCTCTAAGACCGCTAGGTAGGAGTAGAGCTTCTCCCCGTCCACAGGTTTGGAAAGAAGTGGTGGTGTGGTCAGATACCTCTTCAGCTGTTGTAAGGCTTCTTCGCAGGTAAGGTTCCAGTCAAAATTCTTGGACTTCTTGAGGGCGTGGAAGAATAGGTGACATTTATCAGCTGATCTAGAGATGAAACGGCTCAGGGCGGCCACTCGTCCTGCAAGGCGCTGGACATCTCTGATGCAAGTCGGGGATGGTATGTTGAGGACCGCTCTGATCTGGTCGGGGTTTGCTTCTATCCCTCGCTGAGTAACCATGTAGCCCAAGAATTTACCTGATAAGACGCCGAATAAGCACTTGTCTGGGTTCAGCTTCATGTTGTCCTTCCGGAGAACGGTGAATGCCTGGCTAAGGTGGTCAAGGTGTTGTTCGGCGATCAGGGACTTGACGAGCATGTCATCGATGTACACCTCCATGGTCTTCCCTAAGTGGTCAGAGAACATTTTATTGACCAGACGTTGGTAGGTGGCCCCAACGTTCTTCAATCCAAATGGCATCACTTTGTAACAGTAGGTTTCCCTCTCGGTGATGAAGGCTGTCTTCTCCTGGTCATCCGAATGCATCAGAATCTGGTTGTATCCGGAGAAAGTATCCATGAAACTGAGGAGTTCATGCCCTGCGGTCGCATCTACTATCATGTCGATATGTGGGAGTGAGAAAGAATCCTTGGGGCAGGCTTTGTTCAGGTCAGTGAAGTCGATGCAAACTCTCCACTTTCCGTTCTTTTTCTTTACGACGACAGCGTTCGCCAACCATTCGGGGTAGTGGACCTCTCTGATCATGTCGTTGCTTAGGAGCTTTTCAACCTCTTCATTGATGATCCGGTTTCACTCAGGTGCGAATTTCCTCCTCTTCTACTTGACTAGTAGGTGATCCGGATCTGCCTTGAGCTGGTAGACCATTGCGTCTGGATTGATTCCGGTCATGTCGGCGTGGGACCAGGCGAAGCAGTCTTCGTTCCGTCTGAGAAATTCTATCAGCTTCTCTCTTGTCTCGGGTTTGAGGCGGGAGCCTATTTGTGTCTTTCTCTCTGGGTCGTCCGGATGTATCTGCACTTCGTCCAACTCCTCAATAGTCGGTTGATCGGGCTCGGTTCAAGGGGTTGGATGAGACTATAATTGCTATAAAGAGTTTCCCTTGCTTTTGAAGGCGTTCTTATAGCAATCCCTGGAAGCTTTAGGGTCACCCTTGATCTCCCGCACTACCCATTTGGTTGGGAACCTGATTGTCTGATGGAAGGTAGATGGCACTGCCCGCATGTCATGGATCCAGGGGTGGCCCAGAATGACGTTGTAGAGGGATGGGCAGTCGATCACCGAGAAGACTATCTGTTTGTTTACTCCGCCGGCATAGATAGGAATGATGATCTCCCCGATAGTGTATTTCTGTTCCGAGTTGAATCCAACCAGCAGTGTCGGTCGTCTGTTGATATTTGCTTCTTCCAGCCCCATTGCTTTTACTGCTTTGAGGAATAGGATATTTGCTGATGAACCTCTATCTACGAACACCCTATTCACTAGGATGTTGGCTATTTGCAGGGAGAGGACTAAGGCATCGTGGTAAGGAATGGCCAGGGTGACCGGTTCGTCATCTTCGAACTGAATCACTTGATGAGAGTATGACCTCGAGACCGGATGGACGGACTGGATTTCATGGTTGTTGGTTTTAGCATGCCGTTTGGCCAATGAGTAACTTGCCCCACTGATTTCTAATCCCCCGGAGATGCGTGAGCAGAAACCCTTAGGTGTGGGTTCTCGCGGAGGGGGCGACGGTTGTTTGGGGCCCTTCTGGCTAATGGTGTTCTTCCCCTTGTCAGTGAGTAGGTCCCGGAGATGTCCCCTCTTTAAAAGTGCGGCAACCTCGAGCCGCAATGCGATACAGTCCGTGGTGTTGTGCCCTTGATCGTTGTGGAATTCGTACCACTTGGTTGCGTCTCTCCTTGCCTCGGGATTGAGTTTACCAGGCCATTTGACGGTGGATCCCATTCCCTTAATTATCGCTACGACCTGGGTTGGTTCAACGTTGAGGTTGTACTCTGATATTTTGTGCTGGTTCGATCCGAAATGTCTGTTATCATTTCTCGCGGGTTGGCGATCATAAGGTCTTCTGATTCTGCCCATATTGCGTGCCGGAGGTTAGTAGCGGTGTTCTACCGGTCTAGGCTCTGGCTTCCTGTCACTCCGCCTTGGTTCATATCTGGAATGGGCAGCTTGGTTCATCTCATCCTCCTCCCATCTTATCTGGATAACGACTCGGGCCAGAGCGTCTTCCATTGTGGTGCAGCCCAGCTTTGTAAGTTCTTTGTATAGTTCTCCATCTGGGAGGAGGCCTTTTCTGAAAGCGCCCATAGCAGTCTCGGGGTTACATGAGGGAATCGAGATCTTCTCTTTGTTGAATCTACTAACAAACTCTCTTAATGGCTCTCTCCTTCGTTGGTATACTCGGTACAAGTCGACCGACAACTTCTCTAGCTTCTTGTTGCTGGAGAACTGTTCCACAAAGGTGTCGGTAAGCTGAGCGAATGAATCGATGGATCCGATCGGGAGGTTTGTATACCATTAGAGTGCCGACCCGGACAAACTAGAACCGAAACTTTTGCACATGCAGGCTTCTCTCAGCGGGCGGGGTATAGAGACAGTGAACATCCGCTGCTTGTATGAGACTATGTGGTCATCCGGGTCGGTGGTACCGTCATATGGTTTCATGTTGGGGATGGTGAATTTCTGGGGCATATCAGCCAGGGCGATCTCATCCACAAAGGGTGAATCGGCGTAACAATTTGGTCTGCTTTTCTTGGTTGGGACTGGCATCCCTGGAATGCGTCTCATTACTGCCTCCACGTCGGCCAGTCTCTTGGCCAGTAGTTACTCCACAAGGGAAGGGGATGCTATCCGGTCATCCCGTCTTACCAGGTCTGGTACATTTCGTTAGGTCATCCCTCGGGGGGTGGTCTGACAAATCATTCCGTTGTGCGCCCCTTGGTAGCATGGGTCTTCGTTCATCCCTTCCGGTTGGACGACTCCCATTGTCACTGTTCTATTATTCTTCCCTACATGAATGGTCAAGGGATTCGTCTGGTAGTCGTTCGGTCCGTCAGGATGGATGGGCTCAAGTGCTGAAGTTGGTTGGGTTTGGCCATTCAACCCGCGAGGGTGAGCCGAACCAGATGGGGTTTGTGTCTGGGTTGACTAGAGGTGAAGTGGGATGGAGGGGATGGGTTGATTCTGCGGGCTCTATATTCCTGGGTCGTTTTGATCATGAGGCAGGGATGGGTCGACTGGACAGCGTGCTGTTGGCATATCTTTATCTCCGTTAGTCAGAACGGAGTAGTCGGGCGCCAGTGCATTTAACTGACGCGGCCCTTTACCATAATCTGAGGGTCGATGCTTTGGTGTGGAGAGAGGTTGCATGGATGGGATAGTGGTATGGAACCGATTGGGGGGTGCTTGGTCGGGCAGAAACTCGAGATCGTAGAATCGACTTACTTTCTCCTTTAGCGACTGGTTCTCGACCCTAATGGAGGTGTTTTCGGCTTCCAGATTGGCCACCTTGTCCAAATTTTGTTGCATGAGTGCGGTCAAAGCCTCCAGTCTGGCCTCGAGGCCGGAGTTAACATCGTCGGGATTGTCAGCCATGGAATATTTCTCCACGTAGCAAGGTTCGTCAAGCCAAATGATTGCTAGAGGCCCCACGGTGGGCGTCAAACTGTAGACATAAAAATCTACTTGTATGGAAGGAGAGGGTCTGATTCCGTGAGGTTGAGGCCACTAGCGATCCGCTGCACCTGCACACGTAGAGAAACACACGCGTGAAGCGAACGGGAAACACCGGTGTGGTGTTTGCCGTAGGCACTCGACTCCAGCGCTCAAGTCAGCTAGGTTGAAGGGAAAATATAGTGAGGGCTAGGGAATAAGAGGTTACCGGAAGTCTAGTCGAGGACTGTGACTACGGCGGTGATATGAGGCTCTCAAGTCAGAGCTTTAGGTGTGAAGGTTGAATGTCCCTTGTGAGAGGGCTGGCCTCTGCTTATATAGTGACTGTCTGGTCTCCCAATTCTGGTAGAAGTAGGAGTCCTAGTATGACTCTAATGCAAACTCTAGAAGAATTAGGGCCGTGGTGAGTTGTCTTACCAGTGTCCGAGTAGGAAGGTAATTTTGATTAGGAGAATTAACTTCGAACAGGAAAGTGATTAGGAATGGGAAGTATTCTGAGGAGATCGTGGGCTCTATAGTCATCCATGGATTTGAGGAATGGGCTAGGATTAGGAGGCTCGTGCCCATGTGGTTTGGGCCGGCTACACATTGTACCGAATAGGCCTCACCCGGTAGGGTCATATCAGGATTGGGCTTGGCTTCTTCTTCAGCGTCGCACCCATTCTCCTATTTGGGCCAAAGACGATTTTTGGCCCTAACAATATATATGACCATTCAATAAAATTAGGTCATATATATATTTTAAACAATTATAACCGATATTTAGAATGATAGTGTTGATAGCAAAATCTTAGTTTCTGAAAAAACAAATCTTACTTTACACAATTTAAAGTTGTTGAAACTTGGCCGTGGTACTTGAGTATAATAAGTTATTCTCATCTTTATTTTATTTATTTACTAATGTATTTATATCACTTTGTTATGCAGAAAATCCAAAGAGGATAAAATCCTCTTTTCGCATGGAAATCTCTTGCGATATAGATCATATAATCAAGGTCGATGATTACACAACTTCTCATCTAAACAAATTTGAGTTTATCTTTAACTCAGTCATGCAATTGGTACTATATAAACCTAGTTGTAATCTATTTCTAAGAATGAAAAACAAGCCGTATAAAGTAAATTGTTGCCTCTTTGTAAACAAAATTACATTCAATAACATAAATAGTGGACGCAAGCCTTGGATTACAAGTAATCGAACCACTTTAAAAATTGTATGTTTGTTCATTGTGTTTGAGATTAATTCTAACTTATCCATCATTATGTTGTTTTACCGTTGATCTACCAGGATTGCGCATACATCCTACGCGATTTTCACTCTGTCAATCACGTATCTTTGATTGATGTAAATCTCTGCATCAACACACTTCAATTTATATATATAGAAAATCATATAGATAATTTATATGTGTAATATATTACATTTATGGTAAATAAATATATAGAAATTTACGACATGAAATAAGATTGGGCGTCATATAATATCACGACATCAAGAAGTACAATTACAAACATTCTATCAAACGTTTGTTTACTAATTAAGAAGCTACATGTACTAATAATTAAGTAGTACATAATATAAGTAAATTATTGAAAATTTTTACATAGCTTTACTCCAAAAATATTAACATAACAATTGTAAAAAAAATATTTTTAATAAAAATTTGAAAAACTTATAAAATATTATAAGTCTAAAATTCTGTAGAGATACTTAATTAAGGTGGCCTTTGATGTTTTATTTAAAAAATCAATTTATATCGAATAATTTAAAATTATAAACTTATGTAGGTAATATCTTAAAAATATTTTAGACCTTTGTTATTTTTTATGTTATTGTTTTCTCCATATATATAATTGCCAAAACATATATTTGTTCTTGTTTTTTTCTTTCTCGTTTGTAACTTTGATCTTTTAACTTGCAACATTTAATTATAAAGTAATACTAGCCTTACAAAGAGATATATAAAGAGTCATATAAAAAGTCAAATTTAGCCATTGAAAGAAGGGAAAGAGAGAGAGAAAAAAAGATAATCATAAATTTCAAGGACTGAATTTGATTATTTATATGACTCTTTGTAAGGCTAGTATTACTCTTAATTATGTACTTCTATTCTTTCATCGATATTTGTTCCAATATATGTAAGAATGGCAAATGAGTTTGGGTGGGTGGAGGCCCAACCCAATTAAACTTTATTTCTGGCCCATCCCAGGAAGTGATTTTTTTCAACCCCTATCAAGTTTTTTGGCATGACCCACTTTTAAATGTTTTTTGTTTTGATAAGTTTAACTTGAATGAAAATGATTAGAAAAGATATTATAATTCTATATACACTAATACTCTATTTTATAAGTATTATTGAGGCTTATCAAAAACTCTCCATAAACCCCACAAAAAAAAAAAAAAAAAAAAAAAAAATCTTTATAAAAATTAATATATAAACATACTATTTAAGCGAAAAATGTGATTGTCCAAAAATAGATTGGTTTTATTTATCACAAAAATAGAGTATCTGCTATCTCCTACTAATGGAAGCTAAGCTCCCCTCGAGAATTTTACTTCTCAAGGTGCATTTGGTTCTGACAATATTTTATTATAAAAAAGATAGGATTATCAATGAGATAGATAATCTTAAAAAGGTGTTTGGTTAGGGCCTTTGGAATATTACTCTGGTAGTCTATCTTTTAATCTGGTCATTACATTGTTTGATTTAGTAGGAAATAAAAGATTTCAGTAATCTTTCATTACTCAAGTAATATAAGAGGTGATATAAGGGGTTATGTGATCACCGATTCAAAGAGTGATATTTTAATATTAATGTGTTAATCCTATTTTTGTTCTAATTTTACCCTTAATAAAAATTCAGGACACAAATGCGCTCTTATTGATTTCAAATAACAATGAACCCAACTTGTTGAATGACTTCTTTAACCTCATTAGTTAATTATTTGGACAAAAATATTGTAAAGGGCATTTCAGTAAAATAATATATAAGTATTTTGGCTCCATTTGTTTCACTTTTCTCACCCTATCCTATTCCACTATCTGTCCTAAAAAATGAAAAATGTGTTTGTTTTAATATTGTTCAAAGTCCAATCATGTTCTATTTAACTCAAAACATTTAATAATTACTTTTCTTAATAAAAGTTTATAAATTAACAAAAACACCCCCACCCATCCAACTATTGCCAATAGTTGGCCACCACTGTTGAATGGTGGTCAGAATTCATCGAAATGGTGCATGACTGACTGGATCTGGTTGGTCGTGCACTAA